CTTCAATTTTTACAAATTGATGCTTTGTTCAGTAATTTTGACAAAATTTACCCTTGGAGCAGTATTTCCAGAATAGCAGGGCAATGAACAGAATATCCTTTCCCCCCAGACTCAGCGATAATACAGGATAAAATTCTCAAAATAGAATACCTCGGCATCCGGAATGAGCGAGGGCGACAACAAATTGAGAAGAGCTCGCTCACAAACAAGGACCCCAGGCTCCTGGGAACAGTGGGGGCTGCACAACTTAACATGGGGAAGCGCCTGCCCTTGCCCTGGCCAGACAGTCAGCTGGGCTGAGGACCAGCAGTCCTGCTGCCATGGAAGGGTAGGCCCCTTTAGAAACTCCATAGACAGACTCCATGCCCAGAGAGCTTGGTGAGACAATAGCCACAGGTGGTTAAAAAGCCAAAGGTCAGCCTCCCAGCTGCGAGAGGCTGCAGAACTGGAGGCAGAGAAGGCCCAGGCAGGGCTGGGAGAGGAGACAGGCAGAGTGGACTCTGAGAGGTGCCCATTTGTTTGCAGGGGTCTGGAAGGCTGCACACAGGCTGAGGAAAGGCCAAAGAGGGCTGTGGGGCGCTACCCCTGAGCTATTTGAGCCTCTTCACTGGCCTTGGAGCCTAGGAGATTTCGAGCTGGSGATGCCAGCGATTTTGTGGCTCCTCCCACTAACTGGATTGTGTAATGCAAGTGACCTCTGTCTTCCCTGGGCCAGGAAGACTGATCTCCTTGCTCCAGAGTTGGGCGTGACCCATTGCTACTGGACAGTCCACCTCCTGTCTTAACTGGCTAAGAATATTCTGTAGAAAGCCTTTGAAGTTCCCCCAGATACATAAAGCAGGCACAGCTCTTGCTCTCTCTTTCCAGCGTGGAAGCTGGGTACTTAAGTTCGACGCGCTGTCCTGCCCCTGCCTTTTCAAAACTATTTTCTGTGTGGTGGGATTTTTCACCATATTTCTCAGTCAGCCCACTCCACATAAGGGGAACCCAGCTTCCCAGGCCTGCAATGGCCACGGCGAGGGAGAGACAGTTATCAGCCTCTCCTGGTTACACACRAGGACTTGAACAAAGAGAAAGCACAACCAGGACAGATTTGCCAACTGCTCAGGTGTTATGTGTGCCCCAACCACCAGCAAAAGGCAGAAGCTTAACTAGCTTAAGGTGCTAGGCACAGTCACCGGCCACTCATTGTCTACCAGGTAGGAAAGGGAGGGAAGGGGAAAGGGACTGAAGAAACAATTGTAAAAACAACAACAATAAAAAACACTGAGCAAAGACATCAGTGACGACAAACTGCATGGCTATAAGAATTTACAAATTTAATCCAGGCAGATAACCAAACAAAAATTTTTCTCATTACATATCTTACACTTAGAGCAGGATAATACAAAATAGAAAACACAAAAAAGCAAAAGAACCCAAACCAAAACAATGACTTGATTTAAAGAGACCTGTACTAGAAACAAACCAAAGTTTTTTTAAATGAGATGATGGATAATAAATATTCAATAAAATTCCATTCAACAATAAAAAGGAGCAGTTTTCCTGATATAATTAGCAGCATAGATCCCTTATATCCTAGTATAAATGGAAAACAAAGGTCCAATATAAAATATGCCTTCAGTGTATTCCCACCTTAAGTAGCTCAGGAAATATAATTCTATCCTTAAGAGGCATAAAGCAGGAGATTCGTTGTAAAAGGCCAGTTTGGGGTGGTTTTAAAGAAAACCAAGTGTTAGGAGTCAGCAGGACACAGTCTCAGCTGTTTTTACCCTCACTACTTCAGCATCTAGGTGTGACTCTCTCCTATTTAGTACTTAGCAAATGTTGTTGGATTAATGAATGAAGTCTAAAGGGACTACAGTCTAGCCATGACACTCTCAAGACATTCTTATTGGGAATTTGTCTTCCATACACATCTTGTTGCCTTAATCTCATCTCAACCCAGAGGACAAATTGTATTGCTCTTTTTTAAAAAAATATTTTGGGACATCTCTGCCCATATGCATTTTACATGTGACTTGTTTCTCTCCTCTCCCCCCCCCCCCCCCTCTCTCTCTCTCTCTCTCTCTCTCTCTCTCTCTCTCTCTCTCTCTCTCTCCCTCTCTCCCTCTCTCTCTTTCCCTACCAATTGAAACTAGTTGTCTCACAAACATCATTGGAAGGTATATAATGAGAAAAATTTACCAACACAATAGATAATCCAACACAGGGACAGGTGAGGCTTTTGGGTTTTGTTTGGGTTTCCACTGAGCACATATGATATGCAAAAAAGTTTCCATTGTCATGGCCCCTAAACCCAAGACACTTAAAAATAAAAGACAAAACAGACCCCAGTAATACCAGTACAGGCGGGAAGTGAGGCATGCATGCAATAAAGTCCAGTTGAAGTGCTCTCTGGGCATAGATGAGGGAAAACCTGCTTCCCTTCAAGGGTCAAGAAAACTCTCTGGAGGAACTGGCATCAGGGCTTTGAGGGCTGAGTACTACATTAAAAATGGTGAATCTAAGAATACTATTTCCCAGTTACGGAAAATAGATTGCCTTACATGAGCAAATGATTATTAGGTAGAAAGGGGGGAAAATATCTGGAGAGTAGAAGAGAGGAAGGACATTCCTATGCTGTCCTGAGTTCCTAGGCTGTGGGGCTCCCATCACATTGAGGGAAGCATGAGGCATGGAGAGGCATGTCATGCCGTATAGTGTTATGGCCTGGGAAGGAAAAGAAATGGGAGAAACTCTAAATATGTCCGGGAAGGTTGCTGAGGATAAAGTGGAGTGATTAAGACAGAAAAGTTAAGACAGGAGACAATGGAATACAGAACAAGAAATTGGGAAAAGATAAGGAAATGTGAAGAAGCCATGAGTCCCTCTTGAAACAAATTACAAGGATTATCAAAAGTATTAGGGGCACCATTGATGCCAAGGGGATGAAACTCATGGAAAGGGGTTCACTGTGGATACTGGACACACACTTGGATTTCACCTTAACCCCACCGCTGATTCTACTCCCTCCTCTAATTTCCTTACTGAACATGTACATTCTGGGGATGAGCCACATCAGGCATCCTGTTCCAATCACTCTGTTCCTGCTCCTCCCAAGGAACTTTTCCTTGTCTAACTCCAAATCTCATGGATCTACGTGTCCCTGGTGTCCCACTGGTCTGTTCCTCAAATCACCCATGTTGATTTCTTTCTCACAATTCTTTCTGCATCAGGCATCACCGAACTTTCCTCTTAGGACCAAGACCACCTGCTCACATTTCCAACTCCCATTTCCCTGACCCCAGCAGAGGGTCATGCCCTGGCCTGCTGGGCTGCTAGCTTCAGTCCACTAGAAAGGCCAGCTGCCCCATCAGCTAACACACCCAGGACGGCCAAAGACAGTTTTAGTCAGCTTTGCTTTCCCATGACCAAGAGACCAGAGAAGAAAACTTAGAGCAGGGGAAGTTTATTTGGGGCTCACAATTCCAGAGGTTTAGTCCATGCTTGACTGAGTCCACTGTTCTTGGTCAAGGTGAGGCAGCAGCACATCATGGCAGAAGGGCACAGTCGATGAAAGCCACTCAGCTTGTGCTGGAGTCAGAAAGCAAAGACAGGGAAGGGAAACAGGGCACAGGGAAATGCACCCTTCCAGGACATGTGGCCAAACCCACCTCCTCCAGCCATGCTCCACCTGCCTGCAGTTACCACCCAGTCCCATGCATTCAAACCAACATGGATCCATTAGGTTACAGTTCTGGTGATCCAGTCATTTACCTTAGCCTATTCCTACATGAAGAGAGGAGATTCAGCATCATCTCTTGTCCATAACAGAAACCATGTCACATCAGCATCAGGAAGAAGATAAAAAATGCCCCATTAATTAATTAATGCCCCATTACTGCTGCTCACCCCACATGCACATCATCTAAACAAGCTTTGGATAGAAACCAGAGACATTGCAAATGAGCAATAGTCAGTCACCTGAGGACTGGGTGAAAGGAGAGCCAGGAATCTGGACTCACTGCAGAGAGCACAACAGAGATTCATATGTGAGGACTTATGAAGAGCTGKGAAAACATTATTCATTTAATATGCAAAATTATAACTTTTCCTCTCTGGTAAACTTATATCAGGCAAACTTCATTATGTCCTTTTCTTTGTCCTGTTTAAGGAGTGTGATATAAAGGGTCAAGACTTCCATTTAAGGGGATGCATGGGACTTGAAATATCTTCTTGAGGCACCAGGCACAGCTGATACTTGTATTATGATGAACGACACTAAGTAACATGTCAAGTTTCTGCAGAATGTGACCCTATCTTGAGCTAAATAATCAAGTCTACAAAGTCTGGTTCAAGGAATGAGGCTAAATATTGCCTCCACAAGTAGTGTCCCCAGGACTGGGTCAGAGGTAGATTTGATACCTGGATATCTAGCACTTCAAGCAATGGAAAAGGACTTATGGGAAGCAGAAACATGGTTGGAAAACCAATAAGAAAGAGAATTAGGGAGGCCAGAGAAGGTGAGTGATACAGGGAAGAGACACCRAGAACCTAGGCAAGGGCTAATGACAATACAGAGAAAGCAGTGGGAGAGAGGGAGTCTGCATTGGGCAGATAAACCAAAAGGACCATTCCAGATTAAAGAAGTTTGGATCAATTGTTCAGTGTTTCTCCAATAATTGACAAAGATGTAAATAAGGGATTAAGGACATGAAGTGACCTTTCAACATCATATAGGGAGTTGTGTGAGCTCATCTGAAGAAAGCTGAGGACCCGGAGAGAGGCTGGAAACTTTGGAAGTGAGACTAAGTCTGAGAGCTCAGGGCTGCAGGGGAAATGAGAGGTGGAGKGGGAGTTCCAGCATTGGGAAGCACATTTCTTCTAGACATGCACGTTGTATGAGAAAGCAATTTGCCAGTTTAAAGAAGGAAGACACTGCAGAGTGCAGAGAAACAGGGTTTGCTGACATGAGAGATCAAACACCAGCTGAGAGTCAGAAGTCCTCTGTCAGCGAAATGCTGCTCCTGCTACTTGTATTGCTAGCAGTTCTCCTCCCAGGTGTTGACAATCAAGAAGGTAAGCATAGCTCTGGCAGCTCATGAACTGGTGCAGAGGGTCTGGTTGAAAGTAGGYTGCGTTTGCCCAGATGCACCTGCACTTTCAGGTCCTGCCCGCTCCTGACTTCAGCCCTCTTCCACCATGTTGGAGGGGGCCACCTGAGGCCCTGGGGCTCTCAAATGTGTCAGGTGTTATATTTCAGCAGCCCCTGGGATTTTGGTATCTTTCCAGTGTCGATAGTTTTTCTTTCTCTCTAGCTTCTCCCCTTCACTTAAGTCTTTTCTGGTTTTCTTCACAGCCTCCCCAGGGCCGACCCCATTCCATATCATCCAAATCTCAACCTTTGCCAACAGCACCTGGACAAAACATTGTGGCTCAGGCTGGTTGGGTGATCTGCAGATTCATGGCTGGGATAGTGACACAGGCACTGCTATATTCCTGAAGCCCTGGTCTAAGGGCAACCTCAGAGATATGGAAGTCACAGAGATGGACAATATCTTTGATTCTACTACTTTGGATTTACCAGGGAAGTGCAGGAACACATACTTGACCTTCAGTTCAAATGTGAGTTCTCTCCTCAAAACTGKGTTCTTTCTCTGACCCTTGGTTCTCACTCCCTGTGGTCCTTCCCTCTCCTCCTTTCTTTACCCRGAGGCATGCACACACTTCTCTAGAGCAAGCTCCCTCTCTGACTCCTCTCCTCCACAATCTCTGACCTGGGTGGCTCCTCACTCCTCTCTGACAGATAAAGGTGTCTGCTGTATGACTAGCCCCTGGTATGTCTCCTGTGAAACTCTCTTCTTATTTTCCTACTTGTGCCTGAGTTCTGTATAGTGTGGCCCATCATCTTATCCACCCCTTCAAACATTGCCATGAGTTCTTTCTTCCCTGGSGACTTCTGCTTCCTTTGGGATATCCGTGCTGGTGACAGCATGTCCCTGGCCTTCTCCCTCTGCCTCTCCTCTGCCCTGTAACCACCATCCTCTTTACCACAGCACTGTCCCCTTCATGAGAGGCACASGTCTCCCCAACACTCTACCTCCAAAAGTCTCTAAATGCTGTATTAACTTATTGTTTCACGTTCTAGAATTTTTCCTCACCCAGAATCTGTATCCTGGGTCCTCMCCACATCCTTTCTTCTTGTTTGATGATTAGTAACTTTTATATCTGTTTTCCTTCTGCACAGACCCCTTAGAGATCCAGAGCATAGGAGGCTGTGAGCTACAGTCTGGGGGAGCCATCGTAAGTTCCTGGAAGGGGGCTGTAGGAGGCCTGGATTTCCTGAGCATCAATACTACCTGTTGGCCTGCCCCAGGACCCAGCAGCAGCAGCAGGGCACAGAAGGTCTGTGAAATCTTTGCATTGTACAAAGGCATCTTTGACACAGTGGAGCACCTGCTCTATGAAACCTGTCCCCGGTTTCTCTTGAGTGTCTTGGAAGCAGGGAAGGTGGACCTCCAGAGACAAGGTGAGTCCTGCCGTTTCCCTTTCAGTTCTCCTTAAATCCAAGAGTAGGAAAGCACCCAGGGAGGAGGAGGGCTTCATCAAGGATCTATTGCATTCCTAAAGGAACACAAGGGCTTAAGGTGCACATCAGTCTGCGTCCATGTGCTCTGGGTCAGCACCAGCAGGTGACACTCTCCCTG